AGTATGACCTGTTGGGTCATAGACTTGAGCCTGTGGCTGGAATCTAGCCACTGAGCAACTCAGCTCAGAAGGTAAGCCTATTTTGTGTTCCTAAGAGGCCTCCAAAAAGCAGAATTTCTATTAAGAAGTTGCTGCTCCTGGGGGCGCCTGGGTGGCTCAGTCGATTAAGCATCTGCCTTCGGCTCGGGTCATGATCCCCGGGTCCTGAGATCGAGCCCCGCATCAGGCTCCCTGCTCAGTGGAGAGTCAGTTTCTCCCTCTCTCCCTGCTCATGCTCTCACGCTTCCTCACTCTCTCAAATATATAAAAATCTTTATTAAAAAAAAAAAGTTGCTCCATTATCTTTAGTCATCTTAACTTATCCTGTGTGTTAAATACACGAATAATTTTAATTCTAACTCATCTGAATTCATACTAACTGGCAGATGTAGCCTGGAATTTACCATATTGCTGGAGAAGGCTACATAGCAAGATGGCCTGTTCAGGCAGCCCTCCTACACAAAATCTTGGCACCACATGCACAAATTCTGAGTTGTGTAGGGGGAGAGCCTAAGTATACGTGGTCTGCTGAAAATGCCAGTTGAATTTCCACAGCTTCTTCACCATCCTTATTATATAACCTGTCCTGCCTGGATTAAGGACTCACTTTTGATCACAGAGCTAAAACTGGACCCTGTGCCCCTAAACACAGAAAGTTTGATTAACTCAATTAATATGCTCTTTCCAAACAGCACATTTGTTTTCCCGGCCAGGAAGTTGGAACACGGTTCTAGTAAATGTTTAGATCTGATATTGCTTAGGCTACGGGTTCAACAACTCACAAAGAGAAGCCAAAATACAGTGGCAGTTCAGCTGAGTCCAGGGCCCAGTTTCTTTCTCTCATTGTGCTGCCGCTCCTAAAACATGCCTTTTGCTTCACAGCCCAAGATAGCTGCTCCAGCTCCAACACTCACACTGACATCCCAGCAGAAAAGGAGAAAATAAAGACATTCTGTAAGGGCAACACTCTGGATGTTGTATACACCAACTTCTACTCCCAACTTTGGCCATATCCAGCTGCAAGGGAGGCTGGGAAGCTGGGCAACCATGTATCTGGCTAAAAATTCTGTTAATAAGAAAAGAAGTACAGACTAGAAAACAATTCCCTTCCCATGGTTTTCTGCTCCAGACCTACTTGATTAATAATTCAAAATGCTGAGCTAGAAGCCCACTGAATTCCCTATGTGCAGACATTGAAAATGAGAGGCATTTTTACTCTATTATTTTTGGATAGCATAGATAGTACCTATTTATTCTTTGGGGGGAAAAATAGAAAATACAAGTCAGTAAGAATTTAAGGATCCTTATGAATCACTCTATTGTATACCTGAAACTAAATTATACTGTATGTTAACTAATTGGAATTTAAATAAAAAAAAAAAAAGGATTAGCACCTTTAGACTCCATCCCCCTGTGAGAGGGATGTCAGGATTCTGAGGTCTTTCCTGACAGACTTGCCCGATGCAAATGTAGCTGTTGAATCTCAGGGTGGGAATTTACATTGCATGATGGTGGTGATGATAAATGATCTATATTACTGGGTGGGGTGGGGTGGGGAGAGGACTTTAACCAGTCGCACAACTGAAAGAAAACAAATGGAGAAACTTGGATTTTAGCTCTACCTCTTAATTGACCCCTTCGTGACCCTGAGCAAGTAACAAACTCATCATGTTTCCATTTCTCCATCCTTAAAGTGTACATATATATTTTCTCAATCCCCATTACAAGACAGTTACAAGAATCAAGGCTTCCTTCCTGGATTCCTTCAAATTCTCTTGGGTGCCCGCCATGTGAAAGGTATTGAGAATAAGACAGACTTGTTCACTGTCCCCCCAGAGTAGAATCTAATGGGTGATGCATATCAAAATCTTTTGAGGAATATCATTTGGGAAACCTATGTCAAAGATTACTATCAAGGAGTGTCTACCAGTCATCATAGTGTTCCTCAGCCCTTCACACCTCTTTGCCAAGGCCAAAATGGAGGAAGAGGTAGGAGATAAAGCAGTCAGATGGGAGGATGTGGTCTGGCCTGGGCAGGCTGCCATTTTACCAAACCCAATCAGCCCTAAATCTACTACGATAACTCATCGGCATTTTCTAGTTACATCTAGTGGTCTCTGTGTTCCACCTTCTAACAGGGAAGTAGGAAAATAGAGATTTGCAGAAGTTGGTAAAAACTCATGTCAGGAAGCAGAGTTCCATTTCTAGATCCAAGAAAAACTTCCTGTTTTGTTAAGACCCTTCTTAGGAGCGGAAACCAGCTCACTCAGATGAAAACTGCAGTGAATAATTTCACTGATTTGTACCGTATGTTAAGCAAGCCCAAAATCCCAGGAGAAGGTTGTGAATAAGAAGAGAAACTATCAGAAGGGAACTGTCCATGTCAACCCCCACCAAGTAGGGCTCCTCCTCACTTCTTCACCACTCCCTGAAGAACAGTGACCAACAATGGCATGGAATAACTTTGGGGAGAATATGACGCAAAGGCAATCTGGCAAAGCCTCAGGGGGGCTTGTTCCAGAACTGCATAACTCAGATTGCTCATCCTCTCTCCAGATGGAAGAGTTTCCTTTTCTACACAAAGATCTAGAAGAACCGCTTTATTAGCCTCACCTATACTGCAATTATAAAATAAGTGCAAAATCTTGGTTTACCACAGTACCGAGTATCGTTGCTTTCATTACGTGAGAGGTGGTGGAGTGCGAGGTGGAGACGAGGGAACCCGGCTCAAGAACCCTGGTTGCTAGAGGCTCCAGCATTTGGAGTTGTATCACCAGAGTCTTAGGTCTCCACCATCCTGGCCAGAGAAGAAAAGGCATGGAGAACTCACACGTGCTCCTCTTCAGCCTGGAAGGGACATGGGTCACTTCTGTCTCAGTGGTTGGACAGAACCAAGTACAGAGGTGGGCTGGGATGGCTGGGGAGATGCATAGATATGGCCGAGCAATAAAGGTCTCTGCCCTGGCCGCCCTTCAAAGCTGAGCGTGTGCTGCAACACGTAATAGCAGCTCAGAATCCCAGACCATGAAAGGATCGTTTGAATCCAAGTCTGCTGAGAGGTCTCCCCTGAAGGCCTTTCTTGATAATTTCCTGAGTGTCTAACAGGCAGCTCTCAGGTCAAAAATAGCCCACCCCATTTAAGGTGGGTTCTTCGTCAGGGTTTTACCTCAACCCCCAGCTCTTCCCATTTTTTATTTACCTGATTAGCTAGCCTCACAGTGTTGGGAGACGGACGTAGCTTGGTGTCCCTGGGAGCACGGGTCAGTCATTGGAACGAAAGCTGCGTTTTTTAAAATCCTGGAATTTTAAGCTGTTCACATTTAATTCCATGGAAATGCCAACATAAAGCTGGAGGATTGTTCTCTGAAAGACTGTTGACCAAGTTGTTCAAAATATATTATGATTCAAGCCTCCTCTTGCCGTTGACTCATGTCTGATTCTTGTCCAGTGTTCTTATGCCAAGGGAGGATGCTCTGTATTCACCATCAATTAAATATACATACAGCTCATGCACACATGGGGTTCTCATGAATGAACTTGTATGCCCTTGCCGGGGGGCAAGAAGTTAAGTAATAGCTTATCCAGGACTTGAGTTCCTTTACCTTTTCCCCCTTGCTCCTTGCTTTGGGGACATTTGCAATCCACCAGAAAGACAGGAGGGAAGCAAGGGAAATACAGCGCATTTTGGAGGCAGACTGACTTCACAGGGTGGTTCTCTGCCCTTTTGTTTTACTTGGCCTGCTGTGGAGCTGTTTTGGGACTTAGGAGGTTCTCCAACCACGAGGCCCTTTCCAGACCTGATTTCCCCTTGGAAAGGACACATTAGCCTCCCTTCAAATGTAGCAATTGTAAATTCCTGCCTGGGGAGCAGCAATTGCTTTGAATTATACACTATTCGAATAAACCAGTATGGGATTAACAAGGCCTTATTGTTCTACAATCCTTCACTGAAACTCTGCTGTAGCAATTTCTAGTGACATTGTAGTTCTCTGCCCAGCATTTGAATGCGCAAAGCCACACTGTCCACACTTTAATGGGTCCTTTTAGTTGTGTGTCATAAAAACCTCTGGTTACCGTTTTACCAACAACATCAAACAGGAAAAAATATTACCAGGTTTTCTCTGTTCGCCTTTTTCTCTTCCTTTCCCTCTCTTTGGCATCCCTACTAGAATCCCACATTTTAAGTTCCTCAGATTCATGGAGTTAAACATTACTTCGTGACAGCCATGCGCACACACAAGGTAGGATTCTCTCTCACATTATGTGTATATGCTATTTTTAAAATAGACCTCAGGAGCACAGAATGAAATCGATCATCATCCCTGGAGATGCTATTGCCAATGTGTTTTTATGATAACCCAGGAAAACAATGTACATGTGCTCTAGTCCACTGAACACACCCACGCGTGCGCGTACGAGCGCACACGCACACCCCAAAAACACATTTCTTGCTCATTCACTTTTTACTCAATAACCAAGAATAAATCAACTACTATTTACTTTCTAACCAAAATTATTTCTAACAGAACCAAAAGGGAATCTCTTTATAATGAAAGGCTTTACTCATCAGAGTGTTGAGCCCACAACATGATTTACCTACAAAATAGGCCTTTATAATTCTGATTCAGTGAATACAAAACCAATGAATCAGAGCTATAACAGAGTCTTTTCTAGCTGGTTTTAGGCCAGTTAAGTCTAATAAATTAGATCATGAAGATAGAAAGCCAGCTTGAAGTAAGAACATTTTGTATTCTATTAATAGGTAATAAAATTAAATCTATGCAACTGCTGAATGAAAATTTTAGTTACTTGTTTACATACAACTTTAGGCCTACATAACTATCACTCCAAAAACAGCTTAATAGCACAATATTTTGATTTTATTTTTTTAACATTTTATTTTTAGTAATCTCTACATCCAAAATGGGGCTCTGACCTACAATCCTGAGATCAAGAGTCACATGCTCCACCAGCTGAGCCAGCCGGGCGCCCCAATAGCACGGTATTTTTTTTTTTTAATTTTTATTTATTTTATTTGGGGGGGGCAGGGGGAGAGAGAGAATCTCAAGCCGACTTGGCACTGAGCACGGAACCAGATGTGGGGCTCTATCCCACCACCGTGAGATCATGAGCTGAGCCAAAACCAAGAATCTGACACTTAACCAACTGAGCCACCCAGGTGCCCCAGCACAGTATTTTTTAAAAAATAGGCTTTGATGAAATTGACAAAGTAATAATCTCTACCCATTTGTCTCCAAACCATCTTCTCAGATCTTGTATCTACACTGAAATTTTTAAAAAATTTTATTTGAGAGGGCGCCTGGGTGGCTCAGTTGGTTAAGCGTCTGCCTTCAGCTCAGGTCCTGATCCCGGGGTCCTGGGATCGAGTCCCACGTCGGGCTCCCTGCTCTGCGGGAGGCCTGCTTCTCCCTCTCCCACTCCCCCTGCTTGTGTTCCCTCTCTCGCTGTGTCTCTCTCTGTCAAATAAATAAATAAAATCTTTAAAAAAATAAAATTTTATTTGAGAGAGAGAGAGAGAGCAGGAGCACAAGCAGGGGGTGGGGCAGTGGGGGAGGGAGAAGCAGACTCCCTGCTGAGCAAGGAGCCCAAAGTGGGACTCGATCCTAGGACCCTGGGATCATGACCTGAGCCGAAGGCAGACGCTTAACCGACTGAGCCACCCAGACGTCCCTACATTGAAATTTTTGTGCCAGAAGGGAGTTGGATGATATTTCAGATATACTATACTATAAGAAGTGTAAGTTATTTTTTTTTAAGATTTATTTATTAGAGAGAGAGCGCGTGCATACACACACATGTAGGGGTGGAGGGTGGGAGCAGCAGAGGGAGAGAGAATCCCAAGCAGACTCTGCAGTGAGCACGGAGCCCAGCTTGGGGCTGGATCCCACGACCTTGAGATCATGACCTGAGCCGAAGCCCAAGAATCAGACGCTTAACCAACTGAGCCACTCAGGCGCCCTGATAAATGATTTTTTTTTTTTTTTTAATCATTAGAGGACCAGGAATTCAACTTTAAAACGCTAGGTCTATAATCTGCACTGAAAGGATTAATCTTCAAATATTTTAATCTTTTGATCTATAAACATATGAGCCAGTTTTTCCCATTTTTCAAAACTGAGACTTCTTTGAAGCATTTCCTCTTAGAAAAAAAAAAAATAGAAATGGGTTGCTGCGGCTGTTCAGGATTTCATCAGCAAGGAGATAGAGCTGATTTCTTTAGGGACCTTGTTTCAGAGTTGAAGGGTAAATGAAATCCTGGGAATTTAAGCTTTATATGGACACTTGGCTCCAAGGTAGCATAAACAAGAATGTTCAATAACTCGTAACCGACTGAGCCACCCAGGTTAAGAGCGGAGGCCAAAATCACACAGTGATTTCTGCAGGAGCGATAGACATTGTGAACTGCATCAGAAAGAGATGCTAAGCAAAAATCTTATAAGTAAAAAAAACCCAACAAAACAAAAAAAACCTCAGAAATTTAGAAAAACTGCCCCCTATCCCAGATATTGATTCCCTCCTCCTCCTCGTGAGCAGTTGCATATGCATACAAACAAATGAGTAGAGAAAAACGGCAGGAAATTTGCGGTATAAACTTACAGACTTCTGCTAACACAGTTTATAACAGGGCTCAAGTATTCAGGGTTGCTTCTAAGTTCAGAGTAATAGTCGCGTCCCAATTTGAGACTACAACCTCACCAAGGCATGAGCCTTGGTAAAGCAGTTGGGGAAATTCCACGAAACCTGAAGGCCAAGTAATTTCACTTATTCTTACACTCAAATTTTTCCATTTCATTTTGTTTCGGCAGTTGTGAAAAAACAGTAGATCACTGGGACAGAGCCAGGAGTGCTCCTTTCCAAGAACGAACCAGGTTTGATAAGAAAGACCACATGTTTTTCTGAAGATAGTTAGGAAAAGCCGTTTTAGGCCAAGCTCCAGCCCTTGTCACTGTTGAGGAATGTTCTTGCTCCTCCTATCTCCCTCAGACGGCCATGCCCTGACCGCTCGCCCCCTGGACATCCGATGAGCACACTCCTCAAAGCCGTGCTCCTAGTGCTGGGGTTCCGGGGGACCAGGACTCACCGGGCTGGGAACCACTTCTGGAGCTACAGCAGGGCTCTGAGAGCTCACAAGGTCTCCTGCATCCCTTTTTCTCCACTTCCCTCCTTTATTCGACATCTGCCTCGTGCCTCAGTTTCCCTCATTGGGCCTAAAGACCTGCCCCCGAGCGGAGGTTTAATTACCCTGTCTTGCTGTTTGCCAGCTCCGTGCTTTTCTTCCCACCCTCCCACTGGCTGGGACTCTGCTGGAGTGAGTCACGTGCTCAAGAGCCAGGATTCTTCCAGGACTTTGGTCCACCATCTAGACAGTTATTCCCTGCTTACTCTGCCCCCTGAAGATACTGATAATTGCCTGAACCTGATCCCAGCTTGCCTTCTCCACTGAACCCACCTGATGAGCTTTTCCAGAACCAGCCTTGCCAAGTCAGTCCCACTGCCTCCCTCTGCCTACCAGCTGACCCTGCTGAAATGTCGATGATCGCAGGAATGAATGAGAGTTAAGAGCTTAGTCTATCTTAAACTGTCCCAGGTGCCTCACGTACTTAACATTTATTTACTAATGACACACCACTTGGAAAACCGGGCGCTGGGAGAGGTTAAGTGATTAACGCAAGGTCACCCATACAGTAAATAGCACAGCTAGAATTGGAACCTCGAGCCTTCCTGATGCCACGTGTATTTCTGTTCCCAATCCTAACGTGTAGGCTTTTTCTGCACACCAAGCAATTGTCAGACACCAGCTGGATGTCCCACAGTCCAACTCAATTCCGACACGATCTACCTGGAAAAACCTATCCCACAGGTTAAGGGCTCAGTCGTACAACAATGCTCTCCCTGCCCCTCCTCCTGCCACCTTCAGGTGACGACTGCAAGCAAGTACAGGTTGTCCCTTGTGCTTCTGACCAACTAACCATCTATAGATTGGAGGTTCCAACTACCCCTTCCTTGTGTTCCATTAATTTGCTAGAGCGGCTCACACAACTCAAACAAGTATTTTACTTACCAGATCGTTGGCTTATTACGTAACTCAGGAACAGTGGGATTGAAGAGATGCATAGGGCAAGGTAGAGAGAAAGGATGCAGGTTCCCATGTCCTCTCTGAGCGCATCACTCCCCTCACAACCCCACCTGCTTAGCCGGAAGCTCTCTGAACCCCGTCCTTTTGGGTTTTTACAGAGGCTTCTTTACTTAAGCCTGATTGATTACATCATTGGCCACTGGTGATTGACCTCAACCTCCAGCCCCTCTCCCCACCCCTTAGCTCAAGGGGGTGGGACTGAAAGTTCCAACCCTCTAATCTCTTGATTGGTTCTGGCAACCAAACCCCATCCTTAGGTAGGGATCCAAAAGTCACCCAGTTAGCATAATAACAAGACACCTTTATAGATCTTACTGATTAGAAAATTCCAAGGGGTTGTGGAGCACTGTACCAGGAATGGGGTCAAAGACCAAATACATATTTCTTACTGTGAATCACAGTATCACACCAGGTAAATACTCTTAAACATGGGCCAAGAGTTCCCAATATTCACTTTGCCTCCACATGGTTCCAGACACTCTACGTTTGTGGGGGGCCTGTCTCGGGGGCTGCGCAGAATCTCAGCTACGCTGCCTCCCAGCACTGAATAGAAAGAACCGAAGGGTGCTCTGCCTCTCCCATTTATGTTTCCCCTGCCCCAGCTGGCTTCATTGCCAGTAGACAGGGCTTATTGGCGATGATCAAACTTCACACCTGAGTGCGTCATCCATCAGCTCTGAGGCCTGGGCAGGTTCCCTGGGATCTAGGGAGCCCTCCTATCTTAGGGTTCTGCACACAGCTAGTCAACGGTAGGGCCAGGACTGATGTTTCACGGCTCTCAGGCCACCCTGCCGAGGCTGGAAACAAGGAAAGTCAGATTTCACCCAGGGCTTCTTTTTTTTTTTTTTTTTAAAGATTTATTTATTTATTTGAGAGAGCGAGAATGAGAGAGAGTACATGAGAGGGGGGAGGGTCAGAGGGAGAA